CCTACTATGGGCAGGGACATCTTCCACGAGACCAGGCTGCTCTAAGACCCATCCTTTTACTTTCTCAAAAGGTTAAATTTAAGCAGAAATATAACCTGCTTATTCAAGGATATCCAAGAATCCACATTAAACAATGCTCACATAACTCACAGTGGCTTATTTCAGCACTGAAGCCTCCAAATAAACCAATTCATTTATTTTAATGGTAGTCAATGGAAAATTTACACATAAAATGTTGGCAGCAACTTCAAAATTACTACTGTAATGACACTGAGGGACTGCCCTTAGAGTTTTGTCTGGTTAGATTTAAAAATGCATTAGATATTGCAAAATCCAGTAAGTCTCTACAACAAAGTCTTCCTCAGCTGAGGATGCACCAGGCTGCACCTCCTTGCTAAGGAGTAGGAAACACCAAGAAAGCCCTTGGTTAATGAGAAATATCCCATTTACATGCACACAACTACGAGCAACCCCATCCAAAAAAAGCATTCAATGTCAGGTACAAATCTTTCACTGTTTCAGAACTCAGCCGCTGACTACAGCTCAGGTCTCTCTGCATTTTACATCATTTTAATCAAGTGACTTTCCTGAGAGGTCACAGCTGCCCATCCCCACCGTGCAGTCCCGAAGGATTTGAGGGCACCAGGCCACTGACACCTGCCTTCAGTGACAGCCACCCCCTGCAGCCAGGGACCGGCTCCTCATTTAGCAGAGGTGACACGGCTGCAATAAAGGCTTCAGGGCACAATTCAAAGTTAGGGGACAAAGGAGCACCACGACAGGCACCTCAAAACATTAGGACACCAGAGGAGTCAAACAAAAGCTACTGACAAAGGCAGTAACAAACACCCTGACACTATTCAGGTACTTGGTACTGCATTCAGCATCTCCCCAACTCCCTCCAGCCCCACGTTCCAAGAAATATATAATGAGCCATTACTTTGACAGGACTTCAAACAAAGCTGCTTTCTTTTTTTTTCTTCAAAAAGAATTAGAATATGAATGTTTCTGCTTCACCAAGAAATCCAGAGCCTTTTGTGAGCAGATGATGCTACGAGCAGATGTACACAAGCAGATTCACAATAAAGCAGATGATCTCTTCTTTACCAGCCATCTTGACCTGTCTGGCTCGATTTACATAAACTGTTTCTATTCACTACAACATTGATTATGTAAACCTCGGCAAAACCTTCACCAAACACACGCTGCCACATCACTGCCAGCACAGACGTAGCAGGGAAGGTTATCAGAAGTGTGTTTGCTGCACACATGAAACGCCTGGGGCTTTACTGGGGCTCACGCTGAGGTGCAGACTGAGCAATCCCAACTATTGAGACAATAAGGAACGTGCCCTGCTGGGAAAGCCACCTCCTGCCAAAAAAACACCTTCCCCTTCATTTAAAGGTCAAGGTACAGCAACCCCACTTTAATACTGCTAAGGCAGAGCGAGAGCAAAAGATAAAGGGAAAGTTTTGTCATCTTAAAAACAGGAGCTCAGCAGTTTGCCAGGTACGCCAATTCCTTTGTTCATCATCCTTTTCACCACCTAATTTAAAAGTCTCACAGTTCAAGACACAAGTTATTCATCAACATCACAATCAAGGCTTTAAAAAAAAAAACAACACAACCCACACAGTGTCTCAAAACAGCTTTTTTCCTTTTTTTTTTTTTTAAACCTAGCTGCGAGGCTGCTCTATCAATTTTAATCAGGCACTTGTAACAGGAGCTGCAACAGTACGCTTCTGCTGGTCCCCAGGTCTCAGTTTCACTGCAGGGAGGAGAGCAGATTTACACTGTCTTATTTAAATGAAACTCCAGATTACAAGATTTTAATACAAAACAGGTATTAAGTGGTTTTTTTGGCAGAGCGAGAGCAAAAGATAAAGGGAAAGTTTTGTCATCTTAAAAACAGGAGCTCAGCAGTTTGCCAGGTACGCCAATTCCTTTGTTCATCATCCTTTTCACCACCTAATTTAAAAGTCTCACAGTTCAAGACACAAGTTATTCATCAACATCACAATCAAGGCTTTAAAAAAAAAAAAAAAACACAACCCACACAGTGTCTCAAAACAGCTTTTTTCCTTTTTTTTTTTTTTAAACCTAGCTGCGAGGCTGCTCTATCAATTTTAATCAGGCACTTGTAACAGGAGCTGCAACAGTACGCTTCTGCTGGTCCCCAGGTCTCAGTTTCACTGCAGGGAGGAGAGCAGATTTACACTGTCTTATTTAAATGAAACTCCAGATTACAAGATTTTAATACAAAACAGGTATTAAGTGGTTTTTTTAGCATACTGAACAGCTTAAGCTGTTCCAAGAGTTCCTAGTCACAAATGTTGAATCACCAAAGAGAGGGATGTTTGCATTATTTATGGCACTACAAACATTTAAGACACCTCTGATGAGACACGCAGTAATAAACTCCTGAAGTGGCAAAGGGCTCTTAAAACAACAATCTTCCATCTAAAAATTAAAAATACAGTTACTGAAGTCATGAGATTTCCTGGGTTGCTTCCATCACGTTTACCTAGCCCTACATCCCATTGTGTGAGCAGTGACAGGCAGTGCCCCATTGTCTGAGTGCAGCCACAGGGACACTCAGCTCCCTTGCACAGACTTCTTGTCCCTGGCTGCACTGCAAGGACAACAGCATCTGTTTGCGTTTTCAGTACGTCTCACACCTACAAGATGCAGCCTCAGTAGTTTTAGAGAACGGCTGCAACTCAAACAGGACCTAAACTCAGCCATATACATTTTATTTCGATTTTATTGGCGTGTTTCAACACACACAGTGAAGATCAAGAGCCCAGCAGAACCGATAAGCCGAGATCAATGCGTCCCCATATTAAAGGCAAAGCGCACCAGACTCTGCCAGGTTAAGATCAGAGCCAAAACATTTCATTCTTCTGCACTTTCAACTGCTGCTAAAAATAGTAAAGCAACAGAAAGGAAAATGCTTCCAGCTGTGCACAAAGAGCCTCTGCAGCACAACATCAATTTATGCACTCTAATTTAATTAAAGATTCTGCGTTATACTATGACTTTATTGTCAGAGACAGTGTTGCACAGCTGAGCTCACCCTCCATTGCCAGGAATGAAACAGTAAGAACATTTCTTTATTAAATTCAGTGTGATATGGGTATTCCTCACGAATCAAGGGACTTAAATTCAAGGATTTCAAGTGCCAGCTACGCCACGTTCATGACAGCAGCTGTGTTTTATTCCACGGTAACTGCGTCTTGACCCAGTCTCGTGACAGGAAACATTCAGCATCCCTTAAGGAAAAAGGTGCGCTGCTGGATACCCAGCCTGGACTGCTCTTTTTCAAACACTTCTTCTGCAAAGGTGAACACGGCTCTTTAGGAAAGCACCGAAACACAACAAAAACCCCGAAGAAAACCAGAACAGGGTTTTCTACGACCTTGCAGCAGATCTGTAGCAGATTCCGGGGGAGGCTGAGTAACGCAGCGAGGCTGTGACCGTGCTGCCTCGCGGCTGGCTCCAAAACCTTTCCGCTGCGTTTAGCGCTGAAAAATTACTCCATTGCCCACACGCTTCCACGTACCGAGCCACCAAAATTAAGCATCTCTCCTGAGGTTGGCGAGGGCTCTCAGCAAGCACGGCTTAGACGCTTCTCCCTCATCTGCCTCCGCGGCGCTCAGCAGAGCGGCTGCGAGCTTTAACAGCAGGGCAACAGCGCGATGCCAAGCGGATTTACTTTAAGATCCATATCAAGCCGAGAAAATAAGCATTTCCACGGCGAACCTGAATGTAAGCGCTTCAGCCTCCCGGTTCCAAAGTCATCTCCCTGCCACCGGCAAGGAGGACGCCGCCTCCCGGAGCCAGCGGCCGAGGGACGGGGTTCGCAGCGGGGAGCGGAGGGGTTTGTGCGCCATAACCCCGCACCCCCAGGCCCCGCAGGAAGTTTCTGCCCCAAGCCCCGCCGATGCCCGAGAGCGGCCGGACCCCGCTCCGCCCGCCCGTCCGCAACCGGGACCCCGCAAGGGCCGCGCCGCGCGGGCCCCTCCGGCACCGGGACCACCCCGCTTCCATCCCCGCTCCATTCCGGCACCCGGCCCCCGTTCCAGCCCTCCCCGCTCCATTCCGGCACCGGGTCCCCGTTCCAGCCCTCCCCGCTCCATTCCGGCACCGGGTCCCCGTTCCAGCCCTCCCCGCTCCCCTCGGGCACCGGCACCCCGCAACGGCCGCACCGCGCGCCCCGTCGCGCACCGGGACCTCCCCCCCTTCACTCCTCCGCCTCTCCCCGCACGAGAACTCCGGGTTTGTACGCCATAACCCCGCACCCCCAGGCCCCGCAGGAAGTTTCTGCCCCAAGCCCCGCCGATGCCCGAGAGCGGCCGGACCCCGCTCCGTCCGCCCGTCCGCAACCGGGACCCCGCAAGGGCCGCGCCGCGCGGGCCCCTCCGGCACCGGGACCACCCCGCTTCCATCCCCGCTCCATTCCGGCACCCGGCCCCCGTTCCAGCCCTCCCCGCTCCATTCCGGCACCCGGCCCCCGTTCCAGCCCTCCCCGCTCCATTCCGGCACCGGGTCCCCGTTCCAGCCCTCCCCGCTCCCCTCGGGCACCGGCACCCCGCAACGGCCGCACCGCGCGCCCCGTCGCGCACCGGGACCTCCCCCCCTTCACTCCTCCGCCTCTCCCCGCACGAGAACTCCCCCCCCCCCCCTGNNCCCCCCCCCCCCCATCCATCCCTCCCTACTCCTCTCAGGCAACGGGACCCCCCCTAATCCATCCTTCCCCGCTCCCCTCGGGCACCGGGGTCACCCCCCCGCTTCCAGCGGCCGCGCCGCGCACTCGGCCGGGGAGAAGGCGGGAAGCGCCACGCGCCCCCTCGCGCCCCCCTCCAGCTCCGAGCGCTCACTCGCAGCGCGGAGACGCGGCCGGCGCTGAGCCGGAGGCTGGCAGGGGGCAGCCCCCCGCCGCTCCGGGACCGCCGCGCTTCTCCCCCCCGAGCTCCCCGGAGCCCCTGCCCAGCACTCACCCCAGCACCACCAGCTCCCCATACTTGACGGGCTCCTTGTTCAGCGCGCACAGTTCCTCCTCGCTGGGGGAAAACATGGGGCCGCCGCTGTGGTAGCACCGGCCGCCCCCGTCCCAGCCGCCGCTGCGGGAGCGCGTCCCGAGCGGGCTCCGCTCCGCTCTGCTCTGCGCCGCCGGCCACCGGCAACATCCGCTACACCGCGGGGGGCGCGGAGGGCGGGGCCACCGGGGGGACGGACCAACCCGCCGCGCCGGGGGGGCGGGAGGAGCGAACCGGTGCCGTCCCCCCCCACGGGGCTACTAGTAGCCCCGCCCTCCCCGCGCCCATTAACGGCCGGCGGGCGGGGCGGGGCTGGGCGCGGGTGCGTCCCGCCCCCTCCCGCGCGCCGCGCCCCCCCGCACAGGCAGCAGTGGTACGGCCCGGCCGTGTTATGTAAACATAGAGTAAAGGGGACCCGGCCGCTCTTAAAGGGGCCGCGCGCCGGCGGCTGCGGCTCGGGGTCACCGAGGGGTCCCGAGCGGGGATTCGGGGTCACCCCAGCCCGGGCTCCACATCACTCCTGGGGCTCTAGATCCCCTCCTGCCCCCGGCATCCACGGCCTCCTGTCTGGGCTGGGGGTTCTGAGGCAGCTCCCCTGCAGAGCGCCCGGGGCGGCTCCTGCCCCTGAGGGAGCGGCGCCGCCGCCGCCAGCCCCTGCACCGTCAGAGGCGGCCCTCGCCCTGCTCTGCTGTCCCACCTCCTGTCTCCCATGGAGCCCGGTTCCAGCCTCTTCTGCCTCCTTCTGAGGGGACAGAAATTTCTGTCTGAGGGGACAGAAATGCCCTCACCCCCTTTGTTCCTCACTGGTCTTTCAGGTCCTTCCCAGCCCTCGATGACTTCCATTCTTCTGCCTCAGTGTCTGCCCCACCGTCCTTCTCTCCCCTTTGTCCTCTGCACCTGACTGAAGCCCAAAACCAGCAAAGATTGGCTTGATGTTAATCCATGCTGAGGACTGAAACTCTCATTAGCTGATATTTGAGGTTTCCAACCCATTATCAAAGACAAAAGCAATGGGAGCATCCACCTTTGCTGAAGAGCATCCTTGGGGCCGGCACAGTCACAGCTGCTCCTGCTGAAAGCTTTTCCTCTGTCAGAAATTGTATTTAGCTATTAATTTTACTGGTAATATTATTTTTCTGTCGTTCCGGTGAAGAGGTGAAATGGAAAAACACAACCAATCTCAAAGGGCTGCAAAATGGAGATCTTCCCAGGGGCTGTGTGAAGAAGACGAGATTTTATTGAAGACAGGGAGCTGAATTATTATAGATTTATCTTCTTTATTGCTCTAACAAAATAGAAAAGAAAGCCAGGCCATAAGTCACTGTCAAAGGAAACAAATTCCCAAAACCAGCGTGGAAAACAAAGCTCCTGGCTGCATCCTCTTCAATTTCTGCATTTCTCCCCTGAAAGCAAAACCTTCCCAGCAGCCCGGCTTTCACATGGCATTAACAAACTCCAATAATCTTCCAAAAAATGTTCCCAAGCAGCTCAGCTCAGATGGGCTTGCACAAGTCAGTGATGGGTCTGGACTTGGAGCATCTTTTACAGCTCCCACCTGGGGATGGAGGGATGAGGAAGGACCTGGAGGTCTGAGTTTGCCCCTCTTTCCACTTCCTCATTTTCTAACACTGCTCTTTTTGGAAAACGGGGAAGTTGGGCAGCTCTGCACCCTTTTCCCAAACCTGCAGGTTTTTTTCCTAGCAGCAAACATTGCATTTGCTGTCATTAAACGCAGAAGTGACTCCCACTCCACGACTACAGAAAATGCACTGGTTTGCACTGCTGAAAAAATTCTTAAATACAGAAAATGCTCTTCTTGGCATGCTGAAAAATGAATGAGCAGGGGGAAAAAAAACATCCCAGTGGGATTCACAGGAGAATATTTATATCTGTGGTGGATGAGCTGTGCTGGAGTGAGGGGCACTCACCTGCCATGGACCTGTGGTGGGAAACTGTGGCATAAACCCTGAGCTTGGGCTGTTCCATTATTTTTGTCCTTGGAAATGTGCTTCATCCGCCCATGTCCAATCTCTTCTTTCTGCCCACGGGATGTTTTAGGCTGAGGGAAGATCAGCCCCAGCCCCACAAGGTGTTCTGAGGGCTGTTGAGTCTTTTCTTGCCAAATTTTAGGTTTTCTCATTTGAGTTCCCAAGGACCAATAGCTGCCAGCACTGGAAACCTGCTTAGAATTGTTTAATATTTAAAATGTCTACGTTTTGGCTAATGAAGCAGAGCCAGGAGGAGGCAGCAGCTCCGCCACACATTACACAGCTCCCTGTGCCACACAGATCCCAGCCCCAAATCCCAGCCCCTCTATTTCCACCAGCTCCAAAAATTCCTTTTGCAACTGGTACGAGCAACACTTGGCTGGCATTTCCCCCCAAACCCATTGAAATAATCCAGAAATAAGCCCACAGCTGCAATCTGCTACTTTCCAGCTCAAAACATCCTTCCCTTTTGGATTTGGGGTGTCTCAGGGTGGCTTTTCAGGGCAGTGAAGGGAGGTTGGGTTGTTTTCCAACCAAAAAAACCCTAAAAGTGGGAGTCACAGATAACTTGGAGCTCCTTCTAGGCTGCATCAACACTGAAAGAGGGATTTTGCTCCCAGGTTTAGCATGAGCAGCTGCTTGGCTGGGTGGAGGAATATCCAGCCAAGCCAGGCAAGCATTAAAAAATCAATGTTTGGGGGGAAAAAAAAAATCCCAAACATGAAGAAATAGCATATGCCCATTTATTTTAAAAATGTAATAGAAAGTTATTTTAAATGCAGGAAGATTAATAAGTCTCTAATTCAGCAAAGTACTTCCAGATGTGCTGGACTCAGAGTGTACTTCAGTGCTTTTATGAATCAGGGCTTAGAGAATGGGCTTCAAAGGTACTGAAAGAGGTTTTTAAAGTAAAAAAGGGGAGATTTAGATGGGATATTGGGATGAAATTCTTGACTGAGATGGTGGGGAGGCCTTAGCACAGGTTGCACATAGAAGCTGTGGCTGTCCCTGGATCCCTGGAGGTGTCCAAGGCCAGGCTGGACAGGGCTTGGAGCAGCCTGGGACAGGGGACGGTGTCCCTGCTATGGCAGGTGTGGGATAGGATGGGATTTAAGGTCCCTTCCAAACCAAACCGTCCTGAGATCCTCTAAACAGCCCCTGAATCACACCTGCAGCTTTCACTGCACGTGGAACTCATGGCACATGGGATCAGAGCATAAATAGGGATAAAGGTTTCCATTCCCAGTCCTGGAAACCTCTCTGTGAACCAGGACTGGGATCAGGTTTATGTTCAGCTATCAGTGGGGATGGTTTGGGCTGGGAAAATTAAACTCTGGGATGGAAACAGCCTGGATTTGGTGCTCCAGAGAGGGGAATAAACCCAGGAAAGGAGAAAAATTCTCTCAGCTCTAAGGTTAGGATCAAGCAGGTATCACCTGGCTGGGTGATACCTTTCAGGCTGGAAATCTCCAGCTGGCAGGTGAGTAAGGCTCTCAAGCAGCTACCAAGTAGAACTAGCAGAAGAAAGAGCAGCAGGTGTATTAAAAGTAGATTTGATAAATAAATTACAGGAAAAATAAGATGTGATTGCTCGTATTGATGCAACGCCAAGATTAGCATGTTTGGGGGAGCCTCTCAGTCCACGTTTCAGGGGTTCAGTGCCTAACTTAGGTCAGGTTAAAACAGATTTCCTTTTTCTTACTCCATGTGAGAATCTCTTCTGTTGTCTTAATTTTCCACCATGGCATGTAATGGTCTTGACTCATAGTACCACCTAAAATTTAGAGAGGAGAATTGCATTAAAAAAGAAGTGGAAAAGCTAAAAGGATAAAATACTTTCAAATACCCTGGCAGCAGCTTAAAGATATGGTACAGGCTCCAGCTTAATATGTAACACTCCTTAATAAAGACCCTAAAGGAATTTTTAAAAGCAAAGAAGTTAAGTAGCAGAGTGAGGAAGGCTATTAGGAACAAAAAAGATAGCTGTCAAAAATGAGGGAAATGGAATATAGCACAAACACTGGCAAATCTAAAACCACAGCAAGGCAAGTGGAGAAGATATTTCAAAGCAGTTTACCAGAGGCATAAAATGCTCATAAAAAAAAAGCAGAGACAGAAAGTCAACCAGGGACTCGCTGGGACCAGCAAGCAGTGAATGTGAGAAGTTTGGGATGAAATAAAACACTGGTGGGTTTGGGCTTGAGACTCCCCATGTGTTTGGGCTTGAGACTCCCACAGAAAAACCCTCCTTTTCTGCAGTGGCTCTGATGAGCTTCTTAAATGTAAGTAACACCAAGAAAATTTTGGAATAAAAAGGTAAATCGGCAGAGGAGCAAATTGCCAGAGTGTGACGTCACTGGCCCAATTAATTAGAAAGAGATTCAAGTACAATATGAATAATTGTGTCATTATATTCCATAAAACATTGTATATATGTATTTGCATTTGTACAATTCTTTGAAGGCTTGCACTTGTCTGCAGGATGAGAAATAACTAACTTGCTATGATGAAGCAAGTTTAAAAACTTGAAGAGTCAAAGTCTGACCTGCACTACACCAATGAACATTGAATGAAGTTCAGGTAAATATGGATACCTGGGATGCACTGGGAAGATCTGATACACCAGGGAAAGGGCAATAGGAAGTTTTTTTCAAAAAGAAGTCAAAGTTTATAACGCATTCACACCCCTTAAAGCAGTCAATGAATATGTTGGAGGAGGTGATTGCATGTGTATCACATACCTGGGGTTCAGCAAAGCTTTGGCACCACAAGAGCTGTCAAAGAGATAAAAGTTGTGTGAGATAAAGAAAGGGCTGCATGGAATAGCAGCTGAGACAAGAGAAACCAAAGGCTGGAAATCAGTTTTCATTTTCACAGTGGGGAGAGGTTATTGCTGGGATTTTGTGGTATTGTGGGGCCCTGGCCAGGCTGCTGACTCCTAATGGGAAAGTTTGCTGACAAGCCAAAAAAATTTAAGCTGACTGCAAGGAGTTCTAGAAGGACCCAGCAAGAAAATATCCAAGTAAAGTAGATCCAAGATGACCTTAGCCATATCTGTCTAATGGCTGGCTCTAATTGAGCTATTGTCATTCCAGAAAGGCATCCCCAGGTGTGACAGGCACTACAGGTCCTTCTCTTGAAAGAGAATTATCTAAGTCTAAAACACAAAA